TCTCTCCGCCTGCCCGCGGCCTCCATGCGGGGCCGGGGCCGGGAAAAAATACTTGTAGTTGCGGGCGTTACCGTGGGCCCTTCGCTCAAGCGGAGGGATTTAGTGCAGTTCCAAAACTCGGGAAGCTGTTTTAAAGGCTGTGAGAGCCTGGAATGTAGCAATGGCCTTACGTATGTTCTTGCCTAACTCCTGTCAATTGTTACTGCTCCCAGGTGTTCAAACGCTTCGTCGAGATTGGCAGAGTTGCCTTCATTTCCTTCGGGCCGCATGCTGGCAAGCTGGTGGCCATTGTGGATGTTATTGACCAAAATAGGGTAAGCTGTGAGCGCTGTACGTTTATTTTCTCCTTTTTGCCTTAGCAGAAGCTGGTACACTTTAGACAGACTGTATCGATTTTAAAGGAAATTTTCTGTCAATAGATTTTTTCAAAGAAATAAGCAATTGACAAAAAGATGGGGTTTAACAGCTGTTCTGTTTGAAACTTTCAGTAGCAAGCTTTTTTCACTGGCGAGTGATACATTCCCCTCTCTGCTGTGTTTCCTAGGAGTAGGAGTGGACAAGTGATGTTAGTTGGAGTCTAAAACTTATGAATGGAATGGCTTACTCTATGTTTAAAGCAAATATGTGGATTAGGGGACTCTTTGCTAAATGTTCCTGTAAAAGCTAGGGAAAAAAAAAAAGGTGAATTATGTCATCTTTGTTCTGTGTGCTTTTTTAAAGTTCAGTTTGTTTGTGGCTTCCCCCACCCCAAGACAAAGATGGGCCTTCCAAATTCTTTCTGTAAAGCTTGGGTTGTATATGCCAGACTTGGCAATCTCTGGTTTTGTCTGCCTAACATTAATTTCAATTTTTCACCATTGTTGTTAGGGTACTGTTTATCCATTATGAGGAAGTTGCTGTCTAAATCAAGTCTGATGGGAAAATGGCTACAGAACCCCCACATTTGTTTTCCTTTTTCAGGCATTAGTTGATGGCCCCTGCAGTGGTGTCAGAAGGCAGGCTATGCCCTTCAAGTGCATGCAGCTGACTGACTTTGTTCTCAAGTTCCCTCACAGGTGAGTTGTTGGCATTTTTTTGACCTGTGTGAAAAAGTGTGCTGTCACTTGATGACTGAACTATGTGATCTGATGCTTGCTAAATCTAGAAAGTTCATACAGCGTTAAGTCAATGGACTAACATGTGTGCACAGTAAAAATTTGGCAGACTGTGTTAGCATAATTGAATATATTTAAGTTTTCATTATCAATATTGGCTGATAATAGCTGTTCAGGAGCAAAGGAAATAGCACACTGGCCTAGGCAACTTGTAGATAGATAGTTGTGGGGTGGATGGTGTGGGGGGAAGCAGTTGCAGTAAATAACTGTGCAATTTTGGTTTTACTACTGCTTAGGTCACCTGCAGATATTAGATATGTTCTCTTACCTACAGAATTACACTGGAATTGCAGGAGGCTGAACTCTTTCTGTTCTCTTTAGCTTAGTTACTATATGAGTTTCTGTAATTTAGAAACAAAATTTGCTACCTTTCTTACTCTGAAGCAGTACTAGGAATAGTGCGTGAGTCGCTCATCTGTTCAGTCTTGGCAAAGCATTTACACAACAAAATGTTAATTAGGTCAGAGAGATGTATGTGGCATTGACTTAAAGTAAGTGTCTCAAGTAATGTAGAAGGATGATCTTCCCTTGTATGAGCTTTGATGGACCAAGCATCAGAGAAAGCCTTGTTTTATAAAGACTGAATACGTGACTGTTCCAATGCAGTGCTCGTCAGAAGTGTGTGCGACTTGCCTGGGAGAAGGAAAATATAAATGCAAAATGGGCAGCAACAAGATGGGCGAAGAAGATTGAAGCCCGAGAAAAGGTACAGTTTTTCACTGGAGGAGTAATAAGTGTTGGACAGCTTCTGCTTATTAAAATTAAGTGCAATCTAATGTATTTTTTATTTCTATTTTCTATTCTAAAATCTATGTATTTTCAATTGCAGGCTAAGATCTAAGATAGACAAGGCATAGATTTTTAAAAGTTGCTGCCTGTCAGCATCAACTTCTTGTATTTTAACAGTAAGGGTGGTTTTGTTCAGTTATTCCTATACCCACCTTTTTTCCTGCACCATCACTTCCCAGCAAAGGCCTTCAGTAGTGAACTAGTTCAGATGTGCAGCTAAACCTGATTTGGAGGGATGATCAGAGTTACTTGTGGAATGCTTTGAAACACTGAATTTTACTACTTGCATATGTATATATCAGAGCTGATTGACTGATTCTTTTCAAACAGAAAGCCAAAATGACTGACTTTGATCGCTACAAGGTTATGAAAGCGAAGAAAATGGTAAGTGTTTAAGTGTCATTTCTTTATGGGGTTAATGCTTGTTGCTTTCAGTTTAGTCACGTACAGATGTTAGTAGCCTTATTTTTATAGCTGGCTTGGGTCATGGAGTGATGAAATATGTGAATGCCTTGAATTTTTCATGTTTCTTTGGCACCAGTTTCTCTTCAGTAGTTGATCAAACTTGAACCCATGCGATCTGTGTGTCAGTCCTCCAAGCTGTAACTGTGGAAGGAATTACCAGCTGATGAAATCAGATACTCTTGATGGGTTGCTGTTAGTATTTCATTCTATAATGAAATTCATTGCACATGAAATACTGGGGTGTCCAAGTTACCAGCCAGAATGATGTTGTCCACTTGGTAGATCAGAACAGTTTTAGGTGGAATTTGACATTTTAAATGTAATACATGGTAAATCTTTTGACTGTATAAGTATAATTGGTTAGCAAAGGGTGATTACCAAAAAGGGCAGAATCTGAAAGCTTAGAATTAAAATTAAAGCATAATATTTCAGCTGTTGCTGTTTTCATTCTAATAATAGTTAACATTTTCTTTTTTTTTTTACAGAGAAACAGGATCATCAAGCACGAAATGAAGAAGCTCCAGAAGATGTCTTCTAAAAAAGGGAAGAAGTTAGAGAAGCCGGAGAAGGCACAGAAGCCAGAGAAGGCACAGAAGTCAGCAAAGGTGCAGAAGGCACAGAAGGCACAGAAATAAAAAGAATTTCTAGTTATGTATGACTTTGTGTCCATGTTCTGATTCTTTAAAATTAACAAATGGTTAAACATCTGATTTAAATTGTAATCATAAGTTCACTTTTGCTTCTCACCAACAATTGTTGTCTGTCTCATTTATTAATGTCCAGGTGTTGGGTTCTAGTGTTTCCCGGGAACACGCAGAAATGGTTTTGTCATGTTCTGTGAACTTGGCCATCCAGACTACACTCAGTACTCCGTAACCCATGCCAGTTGAAATACTTGCATACCCAGTTACTTGAAGTAGGTCAGATCCTGGCATTTTAAAGCAGTCTGCTATTGAAATGGTTGGGAATGAACAAAATTACTTGCACAGTGTTTGGTGTGAAAGATGAGAAATAATCAATTACACTAATTTTTCTGTATGGATTAGGGCATAAACTTGAAAGTACGTGTTCTGGTTAGAGTAGAAGTATGTTGGGGTTTGAAAGACTGCCAAATTGCTGTTCAAACACTAAATTACTCCGTGTTTTTCAGAAAACTTCTGCTATTCTTTTAGTAGTGACCTGGAATACTTCCATTGTAGAACATACTTTGTAGAACATACATTGTGGACATACTTTGATGTCTAACACTGCAGTTGTCCTGTGAGTGCAGTTACAGTAATGAGTGACGTATTAACACGATAGAAATTGGTGACCTGTGTTGAAGCATGCTTGCTTTTCGGAATAGTTAAAAGGTGAGTGTTTATGCCAAGACCTGAGCCTCATTACAGTCCCTTAAACTCTGGCATATAATTCCTGCTTTTTAATCAAAGCCATTAAGTAAAAGGGGACATGACCTAAAAATTATTCAATCCTTCTGAAATGGCTGAAGTGCTTGATTGAGTCTTTGCGCTATAAAATAATGTTTATGTGTCTCTGAATGTCAACATCCATCTTTTCCTGTTTTCTCCTGTATAGTTTATTGGCAGGGGATAGATTTTCTTCATATTGAATGAAGAAATTGGGTAAGTCTGAGATCCATTGTAATTGAAAACCAAATTATTTTTACAGTCCAATATGAAATGGAGGAGGGAGAATATATTTTTTTTTTAAAAATGAAGGTTGTAAGACCTTTAAATATATTGTCAAATATATACCTAAATGTATATTGTCAAATACACTGAGAAGCATGTGCTGTTAAGTAGTTACCTGGTTAGTGTCGCTTATTTTGGCCAGAATTGGGCATCCGCATGCTCAAACCCGTAAAACTATAGAACGTTGCCTTGAGCTGTTTATGTGCTTTTAGAAATTGAGTTCAAGCACGTGGTTGATACGAATGGATATAACAACTAAGGGAAAAACAGAACTTGTGCAAATTGGGATTAAAACCAATGTTCAGGCACCTGGAGCTCTTGATTTTAAATGGGATTTTAAAGTGATTAAATCCACCTACTCTGAAGCTCTAACTTGAGAGTAACTTGGAAGGTATATCAACCTGGAGGTTCCTTAAGATAAAAGAGTTACTCCTTAGGGTTTTTTTGTTGGTTTTTTTTTATGTACTACTGGTAAGCTCAGTTATATAAGACCAGGGAAAAATTTGTAAAAGTGCCTATAGAGAAAGTAGATGTGCCTTCAATCATAATGAGCTGAAATGCTTTTTCTCCATCATTTGCCCATTTTTAAAGGTACTTGCTTCCAAAGAATAACTGGCTACTGCTGCAGCCATTTGTCCGGTGTTTCCATTCCTGCCAATACTGCTCTTCACATGCTGAGATACCCGAAACGTTTTGATGATGCGAAGCATTTTCCTTTAGGAGAGAGCCTTACAAGAAGGGTACAAGACGTGCCCGGGAGGAGGGCTGCGTACCTGTAGACTAGTCGTGCCATGGAGAGGGATGTGCTGGGGGAGAGGGGCATTGAAGATTAAGGTGGTGAGAGGGTGTTGCACGCCTCAAAAGAAAACTTGGTTCTGTAATACCACGTCTGCAATCAACTGCTTCTGTGAACGTACCTTTTTTTTTTTAAGGTTTGTAGGAGAGAGAACAAAAGAAATGATGATACCGGTCTTTGGTCCCCACGCTGTGTCTTTCTGACGGCATGTTCCATGCGAGCAGCAGCTGGCGCTTCTCTCTGAGACCTTCTGCAGCTCTGTGTCACTGGTGGTCCCCCTTCCTTTCAGTCCATCAGAGTTGTTCTGTCTGTGCAGGGTTGTCCTTTTGGTTTTTTTAAAGCTACGAGGATACACAAACCTATAGACGTACGGTTTTGTTTCTGAAGGTTACCACATGATGGCAACGTTAGCTCTTTACAAGGTTGTTCCTAAGGCTTACCCAAAGCAGGCAACTGAAGGAACCGTGCCAAACAAAGGGGGGCACAAACCTGGGAGAACGACAGGCAGGCTTATCCAATTCTTTATTTTGCCTTCACAGTTGACTGAGATGTACTTTGCCGGACTAAGGATTTACTTCTTTAATTTACTTTATGGAGCTGAGTGGGAAGAAATAGGATCTGCTGTTTAGAAAAAGCTTAAACCCTGTGTTTATTTTCTCAGCTTATTTTCATGCAGAGCATGTAGAGGGCTTGCTGGGGGCAGAGACGGGCATGCACCCTAACCAGTTTACTCCTGACATCAGCAGATATCTCCGTACTTCCTAAACTGATAACCAATAGTTAGCAAACCTAGCCTTAATCTCTGTGCTGCAAAGTCTGGGAGCCATGAGCAATTACAGGAGTAGGATTGGACCTTTTTGCATCATGTGTAGCTAAAAGATGTAAAATCTGCTGTTACTGTGAACCAGCTGCAGTTCTGGGCCGAGTGATTTGCTGGTGATGTGTATTTCTTAAAAAAAAAAAAAAAAGAGAAAAAGTCTATAGTTAAGTGCTCTTGGTTCTTGTCTAAACACGTCTGATCCTGTGCCATCTGAATGTGGTTCTTTTTGGTTTGGTTTGTTTTTTTTTTTTTGAGATATAATAGACCTGGAAGAGGAATCTCTGGATTTACTGATCTTCCTAGTTTTCAAATACTAGTATTCAACCTGCCCTTCAGTCACGATTTGCTTGGTGAGGGCCATGACATTTTCAAATTGCTTGGTCTTGTAGTTACATGTACGTTAACAGTAGATAATACTGCCTGTTCTGAACTACTTCTGCTGCACCAGTGCTGACCATGGACTTGTGGCAAGTCTGGTCCCGTTTCCAGCTGGATTCCTTCTGGTTATTTTGTCTCCCTTCACTTGTAGTCCTATTAAATGTCTCCAGCCCTGTATGTTTCTCTCCACCTGCCCACATTGATAAGGTGTCTCTGAAGATGCCTGTCTTTCAGCGAGATGAAAAGGTGCTAATTTCTATTCACAGCATTATTGGTATGTGAGTAAGTACAGCTTACAAGCAAGAAGTGCTAGGGGGAGCAAATTGCGGGGATGGCTGTGCGGTTTGGGCTCTACTCATTTCAGGTCTTCAGCTTTTGGTGCATCCTTCGTGTAATTTCTGTTGGGTTTGTTTGTTTTTTTTTTTTAATTCCAAAATAGTTTTTAATCTTGTTTTGAGCTTGAAGTTACATATACTATTGTCACACTCAGGTACTTTTGAGTTTATACTGGGCTTTCCTCCTCTGAAGCAGAAAGATCTGCTTTTGCCTATTTAAGCACTGCATCCCGAGATGTGCCAAAGTACTGCAGTCCTTGTCCCTGCCTGGAGACGGGCAGCGGCCCTGTGGATACTGGTGATGTACCCACACCCTCTCTTTCCCCCTGAACTCGTAACAGGCTTCATTCCTGGATGCTGTGCAACCTTCAGTTCATAGTGTCCTTGGTGGGAATTTGGCCCAAGTGTCACTTTTTGCAGCTGACCCCTGTGTCATATTCTTGTTCTAAATAAATGAAGAGTTGTTCATTTTTCCTCACCTCACTTTCGGCAATCATAAGCCGTTCTGAATGGTCTCCAGGTAAGTCTTTGGAGTAAACTCTGCCTCCTCCCCCAAAAGCTGTCAGAGCCCTGTGCATCCGAATTAGAGACATTTTTCCCCCTGCAGTCAGCCTCTTGCGGTGATCACCAGCCTAAAAATTATGCCATTGCCACCAGCACAGAGCTACTTCCTCCTTCATAAGATGCATTGACCTAATTCTTATTACAGAGGAAGTACGTTTTAACATTTCCCCTGTGGTCTCCTGCTATGAGGATATTTTTCAGGAGATTTTTGTTCTGTAACTGTTCGGGAGCATCGCTCCTTGCATATTGCGAGGAGGGGCTCTGACCCGGCCCTCGGCAGAGCTGAGCTCTTCCCTCGCGTCCGCTTCGGGCTGCTTGTGGAGGGCGGGTGGTGTTTCGGGGCACTGTGCCCCTGATAAAGGTTTGTATGGCAGGATCTCATCAGGAAGCTCCGCTTTGATGAAAATGCTAGATGCTTTGAAAAAGTAATAGTGTTCATATTTAAATAGCATTAAAAAATGTTATTAGAGATCAAGTGGAGCTTTACCTAAGGACACCCAGTGGGAGGGCACAACATCTGAATATTTTTCACAATAACTCAACAGCCAAGACTTTTTAAAGCCACTGTTTGAACCTCGTATTTACAAAAGCCATCAAACAAAAGAAGGGACCATTGCTAGCTGTGCGATTGCCATCAGATGCTGTATGAAGGTGATCTAAACAAAGGATGGGAAATAGGCTTGTGGGCTTTTTCTTTCTTCCTTCTCTTCCTCCCTGGAGACCTTGAATAACTTTAAAGGGATTTTTTTTTTCATTGTTTCTCTTTTATTTCTACTGTTTGTCTCGTTCGCATTGCACATGTGAGTCTTAGCTCATCCTGGAAGTCTCTGTGGATAATGGAAAAAAAATCAGAGAGTTTATGGCATAATGAAGTAAATTAAGTCTGACTAGCTGAAAGTGGCATCATTTTTGCTCTGGTTGCTTGAAGTATTTTTCAAGATCCAGGGGGAGGCTGGCAAGCTAGTGCTGTGGGCCATGCATGCAGGTCCTCATCCTAGATGTGAAGAGGCTGCCTCAACTCCCAGCCACCTGAACGTGACCTTGGAAGGAA